CCAAGGCTGGAGGTGGGAGGGAGTGCAGTGAGTGGTCTGGATTCTACTGAATGGTAGAAACAAGCACAGTAAGAAGAGACATAACTTCTCTGCCCACTGACCCAGCTGCCTTGTGATGTCACTTCATCCCTTTGAACTCTTTGAATTCTTAAAACGTGCTTGTTTAAAGAGATTAGAAGATTATATAAAAGTGGAAGGGACAGATGGTCTGTGTTTGCCTGAAGGATAGAATGACCAAGAAATGAAGAAAGACAGGAACAACTGCGAGCTAGTCATTCTTACCAGCCTCTGACAGTGTGAGATCTATAGCACTGCTTGCTAGCGGATTTTCTATGACGTTGATTTTCAGTACTAAAAAAGGAAATAACAAGTCTGATGGTAATCTTCCTGATCCTTCTAAATACCCGGCAGTGCTTCCCCTTCCTGTGGTCCCTGCCCTTAAAGGCCTGGGAAGCTGAAACTGAACATCTCTTCAGTTAACCATTTCTATGTCCCTTTTTAGTTCAAAGAGAAAACAACTCATTAGTTAAGACAGCTTTTGAATTTCTCCTTCCTTCTGTTCAGATGGTACTGTTATGGAAGTTCAAAAGGGCATAGAAGCCACTGGAAAGGCTGTTCTTGGGGAAAGGAAGATAACTTGTAACCTTAAATTGGTTTCCTTTTCCTCCAAACCAGCAACCTTTTGGTATATCAACAGCGTATATGTGGAGATGAAAAATGTTATCAAGAGCTATACTAAAGAGAACTGAAAGTAGTGTGGACTTGAAAAGTGTATGAGACTTGAGGCTGGAAGGCCTTTTCAAGCCTCAGACCTATCATTTGTAGGCCACACAGGCTGTCCCAGTCACTAACACTGGTTGGGCTTTTGTTTTTCTGCTTACAAAGTACAGAATAATAATACTCAACTTCACAAGGTGGCTCTGAGGCATCAACTGTGATAATTTGCTATGTGAAGTACTCGTTAAAACCACAGAGCACTAGGGAACCAGCAGTTAGCATAATGGCTATGTCGCTGGACTCCCACGTAGTCGACCGCGGTTCGTGTCCCGGACCCCGTGGCTTAAAACTCACGCCGGGCGCATGTGTGCGCGTGCCCAAGATCCTGAGAGGAGAATGGTGGAGAAGGGATTGCGGCGTGACCATCCCCCCTGGGGGGTGATTTCTTGCTTTCTGTCTCTATGTCTCTCTCTGTCTGTCTGGCGAGCGCACACGCCCTATAGCGAAAACCTCTCCAAAAAAAAAAAAAAAGCAAAACAAAACAAAAAATAAAAACACAGAGCACTCTGCAGATGCAAGGTATTATTACTGTTGTTGTTATTTTTGATCATCTTTCACCTCCCCAACCATTATATAGGTCAGTAGTCTTCATACTTTGGGAAGGCACTGCCTGGGTTTCAGTGAGTAGTTTGGCACTCTCCTCATTGGATTCCCATGTTGAGTAGAGATTGTTCTTCAGGCACTCTAGGAAGAGAGACTGCACACTTGAAGGGAAATGTTAGATTCATTTGTTCATCCTTTTAGTGGGCTTTGTTGTGTATTGACAGTGCTAGGTGTTTTGGTAAACTCAGGCAAAATGAATGAAGCATCTCCTAGCCTCAAGAATCTGAAAGTCTTATTTGGGAAAATAGCCTCCTAAGAAGTGATGACAATGTCAGAATAATAATGTTAACCACAAAGTGTCCTATGAGCCCTAGTAAAATTTAATATATTGGGTCATTGGAAAAATCATAACAAATTTTTGCAGAGAGAAACATAGAAAAATACATCATGACTTTTCCAACAACCCAGTAAGTCCAGCTGGAGCATAAGTGACTGAGACAGGAGTCAGGAGTCAGGAGTCAGGAGGGGCTTTCTAGACAAAGCCCTCGAAGGTCAGCATCACTGTGACCCATTGAGTTCAGAAGTGGGCTAGGATATCTCAGGTGTTTCTTTGCTTTAGAATCTTGTGATTCACAGTATGGTCCCTGGAGCATCACCATCTGGGAGCTTGATAAACATAGAAGACAAGGCCACTCTGAATACTATATCTGTCTTTGATGTTAGTCATTTAGTTTCTCAACTCATTTCACCATAACTTCTTGGGCATCTAGGGCAGCAGTCCCCAATATTTTTGGAAACAAGGACTGTTTTGTGGAAGACATTTTTTCCATGGACTGGGGAGGAGGGATGATTTTTGGCTGATTTGAATGCATTACATTTATTGATCACCTTATTATTATTACATTGTAATATATAATGAAATAATTTTACAACTTACTGTAATGCAGTATTTGCAGCTGGATCCCAATGCTAGCGTCACTGCCTCAGCTTGACCTCAGATCATCAGGCATTAGATTCTTAAAAGGAGTGTGCAACCTAGATCCCTCACATGCATAGTTCACAATAGCGTTTGTGCTCCTATGAGAATCTACTGCCGATGCTGATCTGCCCGGAGGCAGAGCTCAGGTGATAATGTGAGCAATGGGGAGTGACTGTAAATACAGATGAAGCTGCCACTCACCTCCTCCTGTGAGGTCACAGGCCACAGACAGGTACTGGTCTACAAACTAGGGTTTGGGGAGCCCTGATTTAGGGGATTCTTTTGGGAAGTTTTTGTTCTCTAAGATGTTTTCAGAGTTGTTAATTTAGAAAGGGATGTACCATTTCTTTTTGAAAACAGAAGAAAGGATGAGTTTTCTTTGAGTCCCTTTAAGAGCTCTTCCTGGGTTGATCTAGGCTTCCTGTTTTATAAGAGTGGGAACACATTCATGTGGAGGCAAGTACTAGTCTTTTAAACAACCTTTGACCTAGGGAAGTCATGGACTCAGAGTTCTCATCTGAATGTGTGTCTGAATTTACTAAATCAACTTATCTGGTTATAGGGTGCTGATGACAGAGATTGGTGAAGACCTGGATAAATCAGATGTGTCCTCATTAATTTTTCTCATGAGAGACTTCATGGGCCGAGGAAGGATAGCCAAGGATAAGGTGAGTCTTAATCTTGGTTCATGGTGCCAAGAGCCTATTAGAAGTTGAGGATTGCTCCTTATAGGACTAGAAGAGAAACAGGCAGTCTATTGCTGTATTAGTGGGAGTTAGATAGCTGAGGTGTATTTTTCTATAATAATGTTGATGGGAAGAGAATTAATTTATGAATTGAGAAGAAACAGGGTGGGTGATATATTCTTTTGTGACCTTGAATATTTCTTTCTTCCTTGGATTTTATCCTAATTTCTGTGAAATTCATAGGACTGGTTTGACAGATCACTTGGCAGGGTTAGGAAGTCCCATCTGTTTGTGCAGAGTAGGAAATGCTAGTTTACTTTCAGCTTGATCTTCTATTGCCATCAATTTCTCCTCAGCTAGCTCAGTGTCAGTGTGGGGTTATTATGCTTCATGTGGAGGGGGGTAGGAGAAGGTCCTTGTGACTGACATGTCTAAGAAATGACAAAAGTGGAGAATGGAGGTTGAAAATTGGGCAGGGGTAAAGATCTCAGGGATGTTGTGATTGCTGGATGAGAATTTAAATTCCACTTAGGGGCCAGCTGGTGGTGTGTTGGTTAAGGCAGTTGGATCTCACATGGCCAATATGTGCTTAAAATCCCAGATCCAGTGGCCAGTGGGTGGTGTGGTGGTTAAAGGTGCTGGATTCCCATGAGATTCAAGTCCTGAATTCCCACGAGGTTCAAGTCCTTTCTCTCTCTCTCTGTCTCTTTCTGGTCATATTAAAAAATAAGAAGAATAAAAAAAAGAATTGAATAAATAAATAATTCTAAAAAAAAAAAAATCCCAGATCTAGCTGTTTGAGAAACACGGCAGGTGTGTGTACATGGTTGCATAATATCCAAAAGGAGAATGGATTGAGGTGTGACCTTCCCCACTGGAAGTGCTTTCTCACTTTCCCTCTCTCTCTGGCAAGTGCATGTGCCCTATAGAAAATTAAAACAACAACAACAAAAACAAATTAAAATATATTTGGCCTTGTATGGTACTACTGACCTTAGGACAGACCAAGAAAAGATTGGATTACTAGAATATGACAGTAGGGCCTCAAAGGCCTACCTCTAAGGAAATGAGAATTTTTGCATGTTTCCTAATGATTGCATTGATAGTTTCATTTCTAAAATCTGAGATTTCCCACCAATGCAAAATGGAAAGGAAGATGAAAAGTAAAATTCCTTCTTTAGTTTCTCCTAATCAGTTCTGTCCTGGTAATTTATATATATTTAGGAGCATTTACAAATATTATTATTTTTTAAAAGTTTATCTCTTCCATGAGAGAGAGGGTGAGAGAAAGAGGGAGAAATAAAGGGGGTGGGGAGAGAGATTGGCATCCTCAATAGCATCTTCACACCACATTCCACTCCTAGTCTCAGCTGGCATGGATCATAGACAGGCCCACTCCATACCGGGGTGTTCAGGGAAATCCAGACATGTGAACCCAGGATCTTCTTATGTGGATCCAGATGTCTGGTTTCAAATCACAGATGGTCCCTGAAAGGGCTCATCTTGTCACAGTTTCTTGTTATTCTATCAATAAATCATGTAGCCTGTGATTTGCATTTGGGTTTATTAGTTAATTCTACTGACATTTGTTCTTGTTGGTGGCTCTCTTAGAGTTTCCTGGATCTTGTGATTGAATTGGAGAAACTAAACTTGGTTGCACCAGATCAACTGGATTTATTAGAAAAGTGCCTGAAGAGCATCCACAGACTAGACCTGAAGACAAAAATCCAGAAGTACAAGCAGTCGGGTAAGAAGGATTTTGGCCTCTTGGTGGTGCAAGTATCTTATTGCACTGGGTGTGTTTGGTTCATTTGCCAGACGGATGATGGAACAGAACCTGAATGTCTGCAGCCCACTCTTACTCATGGGTAGAGATCGTATCCCTTTATGTCCCTCATAAATATCTCAGATCTGCTGACACCATTGTCCATGCTCATGATCACCACCTCTGCAAAATGTTGCCAGGCAGTTCTTAACATTCTGGCCTTTGAGAAAGAGCCTGCACCCCCATTTTCTGCACAGGCTGATGGAGTTGTGGACATTCAGAGCTTTTGTGTGCATGCTGAACCCTACTGCCTTGCTTCAGTATTTGGCCTAATGACCACCATCCAACTCTGGGTGGTATCACTGTGGTCCCATAGCTGCCCTTTGAGTGTCTTAAGTTTCAAAAACCCTCCTTATAGAAAAGGGTACTTTTGATTTCTCCTTTTGTAAAAGGGGAAGGGCCACACTTACATTGGCCTTTGCCTTCACCCTGCATGGTCTTTTGATCTAAGAGTTCAGTTTGGGCCCTGTGTTACTGTAGAGGGCATGGCTGGGACCCATGGATTTAAAGAACCCTCCTCCATCTCCCATACCCTAAATGACTGGTAAAAATTCAAGAACAGGAGCAGCATTTTGAGATTATTCTTAATGATATTTGGGGGAAGAGTTCATTTGATCTGATACTTTGAAATCAGTGAGGTGGTTAGAAAGTTTAGAGTGTTTTGAAAGATGGTGGCTGACCTTGGACTAAGCTATTGTTGAAGATTCATTAATAATACTTTATAAATCGTAACTCAGTACCTCTCTTCTGCTTTTATAGCTCAAGGAGAAGGAACAAGTTATAAAAATTCTCCCCAAGCATCTGCCCTAAGCTTGAGTTCCAAGGATCCTTCATTTAACTTAACGGTGAGTCTGGAGCGAAGGCATGAAATCTCAGCATGAAAGAGTTTCAGAACTTTTTTTTTTTTTTGAGAGAGATTTTCACTGTAGGGCGTGTGCACTCGCCAGACAGACAGAGAGAAACATAGAGACAGAAAGCGAGAAATCACCCCCCAGGGGGGATGGTCACGCCACAATCCCTTCTCCTCCATTCTCCTCTCGGGATCTTGGGCATGCACGCACACACGCCCGGCATGAGTTTTAAGCCACCGGGTCCGGGACACGAACTGCAGTCGACTACGTGGGAGTCCAGCGACATAGCCATTACGCTAACTGCTGGTTCCCAAGAGTTTCAGAACTTTTAATAACAATGTTTGTACTCTCACAGCAGATATTTTATTTAATACCTGAAGATGTTGTAACAGAAATGTACATTCACTTAAAAATGTGTATAACTGTTTATGATTACGAAGCTTGTATATGTTCTTTGAGATATTTGGAAATAAATCACCTCTACCTCACCATCTGAAGACAACTGTTAATATTTCAGTGTATTTCCTTCTAGTCTCTTTTCTATGTATGTTTCATGTGTTTGTGCAATGAGACCTTTTGTCATTGTTAATTTGTTCCTTAGAAAATTTAAATTCTTAAATAAAAAATGGGGTATGCATATGGACAAAACATTCAAAATGTACTAAAAGAGCTTTACAACTCTGTTTTCTTCTTTCCTCTACAATACGGACCCCAGGTTCCTTTCTCTGGAGACAGCTGTTGTTAACCTGTTTCTTCTGTAACTACACAGAGATCATCTCTGCACATATATTTCTTTTTTTTTTCAAATAAATCCATTTTTACTTAGCACAATTTAAAGGGGAAACATTAGGCCCTTCTGCTATGGGAAAAGCCTTTCATAAGTCCCTGAGTAATATTTACAAAATATAAAATGGACCCTAGAACTTTTGGCTTAACTTTACCAAGTACCAAGATGTGCCACAATAGTTAAGGGAAGGCAGAGGCAAGCTAACAAAAAGTTGCTAATACAACAATATATTGTAGTCTGAGAACAACCACTTATTTACTTTATTTACTGACCAGATTACAAAAATAATCATGGTAGATACCTTAGTTCAGCCTTCTAATAAGTCTGTTGATCTGGGCTTTCCTGTTGCCAGCATCTCCACCTTCTATAAAATGGGTGGTCTTGTTCTTCATTCCACCTCGTAGAAAAGATATTTTGAAAGGTCACTGGAAGTCATTTGCTTCTTTGAAGGTTTTCCAACAGTACAGATTTCATGAATCAGATCCTCCATGCAGATGATGCCGAATTTACCAAGAGACTGAGCAACCAGAGAGTTATCTGTCAAAGCAATCTGGTTTTTATTGATTTTGTCATTACCAAGCTTGTATATTAGTTCATGTACTGACCTCAGCTTTGGGTACCCTCATGCAATATGTGGTTCCTATATGAGGCCTTGTTGAGCTTAACAAAGGTGCCATTGAAGATCTGCCAAAGACGAAGAAGCTGCAACACCTTTCGAACCTTTGGGCTCACTCCATTGATACCTCTGATCCTGATGACAAATGCCAATTTAGGTTCTGCAGGTACATAGAAGTTGCCAGCTTTCCTTGCCATCCGGCCATGCGAATCTCAGTTCCGTACATCTGCCTCTCTTCCTTATGCTAGTGCTTAGCTTTTTCATAGATAAGCTTCTTTCTTGCCTTTCAAAGCATCTTTTGAGCAAACTACTTTCTCAGGCCCTTGATCTTCAGCTCTGCAAAATTCCTTTGCTTTTTCTTAAGGGTTTCTGGCACAGCAGGAAACTTTTTCTTGGTGACCTCCATCGCAGCAAGAGCATTTTCCTTGGTTTCTGTCACAGCAGGAACCTTCTTTTTCTTCTCTTGAATGCCCTCGTTTCATCATCCAATAGCTTTCTTTGCCTTTCCAAGCATCTTTTCAGCAAACTTCTTTCTCAGGCACTTAATCTTGAGCTCCGCAAAATTCCTTCAGTTTTTCTTAAGGGTTTCTGGCACAGCAGGAACCTTTTTCTTGGTGGCTTCCACCACAGCGGGAGGCTTTTCTTCCTTCTTTTTCTGCCTTTGAATATCCTCCATGGTTCCAGTCAGAAAAAAGAGTACAAAAATAGTTCTTTACAATGCTTATCTAAGACACTCTTTTTAGCAGGATTTCTTCTTTTTTTTTTTCCTTCTTTTTTGACTGATTTTTGCTATAGGACACCTGCACTCGCTGGAGAGGCAGAGAGAGACAGAGAGACAGAAAGCGAGAAATCACCCCCCCCAGGGTGGGTGGCCACCCTGTAATCCCTTCTTGTCCAGTCTCCTCTAGGGATTTTGGATACACATGCACATGCACCCATGCGCATGCACCTGGCGTGTTTTAAGCCACTGGTCTGGGACTGGAGCTATGGTCAACTACAATGTAACCATTATTCATCTGCTGGTGTAAAAATAGTTCCCCAAGATTTCTTCTTTAAACAGAATTTTGTTACATTAGTAAGTACCTTTATACAGGATGAATGCTGTGGTATTTAAATTTTCTTAGTACAACAACAAATTGCAATTTTTTAAATACTAGAACAAGGTTTACATTATTAAAAAGCTTCAGATTTCTTCTCTATTATAGTTTATTTTGAGGACGTCATTAAATTCTATTGGTTCTTCTTTCTTCCTCTTTTTTCTATCTTCACAGTCATGTATAAGTCCTAGCAAATTCATCCCTAATTCATTATTATAATAGTTTTAGTAGACTTTTTTTTTCTTTCCAGGACCTTACCAGTTCTGATACACCCCTTCTCATACACAGTTCTTCTAATGCTTCCAACAAACTTGTTTTGAAATCTAATGGTTAAATAGAAAATGTTTCGAAGAACTTTGAAGAGTAAAGGTAGATGATGACTCAGCCTTGGGATTGTCCTCCATATTTATTTCCGTCTGGGAAGGGCAGCGCGAGGAGGCGGAGGCACAGAGCCGGAACCTGAGGCCCTACCGGAGGCGAGGCGGCAGGGCTGAGCCCCCAGGTGGAAGGTTCTAGCGCTGGCCCCCACCGGCAAGGGCGGCCTCTGGCGGGAAGATTGGTGCCGCTCTCCAAGTTACTTCAGCGAAGCCTGCTGCCTCCCACTGCATTTTTGATTTTTCCTTTTGTAGAATTGGTAGCACTCAGGGCCTATTGTCCTGATCTGAAAATTCTCAGAAATTGTTCCATGGCTCCACTTTCTAGATGTATGACAATATATTTAGCCCTTTCTTGGTGTATATTTATATCACTTTCAAGCTTTTGTTAACAGAGTTGATGCTATAAAATAAATATCCTTATATTTACTTCTCTATGCATTGTTTTTTACTCAGCTTATTTGAATGGTTTCAGCTTTTTTTTTTTTTTTTATTGGAGAGTGGGATGACATGAGAGTTTGGTTTTGTTGTAGCTGTTAATGATCATGAATATCACATACTTACTAGTAGTTGTGTTAGGAGTAGATAGTACAAGATGCCATCAGGCTTTTTCCGTGGTTAATCTTTTATCTCGACAGATTAAATCTTTGTAATCTTATCCTTATCCTTGTATAAAGGTATATGGAATTTATAGTGAGGTCTTAGACCAGAGTGCAAATTTGTGGCTAAATTATAAACATGTTTATGAAAGCATGTGATGAAAACATTAACTAAGCCTGTAACATAAGTAGTTCGGTGGAGAAATAAGACGTGTAAGAGATATCACTGAGCAATAGAATTTCAGTGCTAAAGTGGATATTAAGGATTATATTGTCCAACCCCCCTCCTTAAACAAAATAAAGAAACTTGGGCCTCAAGAACATTAAGTGGGGGTCAGCAGGTGGCATAGTGGTTAAGGCACTTGACTCCACGTGGTTAACTACAGTTCAAGGCCCAAACCCGGCAGCTTAAAACTCATGCTGGGTGTGTGTGTGTGCGTGCCCAAAATCCTGAGAAGAGAATGCAGGAGAAAGAACTGTGGCATGGCCATCCCTCCTGGGGGAAGGTTTCTTACTTTTTGTTGTTCTCTGGTTCGCTGTTTCTCTCCAAGCACATGCGTCCTATAACAAAAACCTCCCCCCCCCCAAAAAAAAAAGAAAAAAAAAGACCTTTGAGTAATTTTGCCCTTCTTACTACCAGAAGAGCTGGGTGGCCCATCATTGTCCTACTATACCATCATGTGTCTAATAAATTCTTGGGTTGTTGGAAAAGTCATGACGTATTTTCCTATGCATCATCAGTTTTCTGACAACCTAATATATGCCAGTCATGCCCTAGCTTAGAGAGCTCTTTCCACTTTTTACGAATCAAATGTGCTTTCTTTTGTCTGTGTCTCTGTGATACCAGATCACAAGACAAAGCATATTCAGGATTCAGGTGCAGATTTGCTAAGCTTTCTTTGCTGTGTTGATCTAATATAAATTATACTGTCATTCTTAATTAATAACTTGACATTTTTTTACTATTGTGTTTCTATTTTGTAAATAAAGGTAAGCATATTCACTGTCTCTGTGACCTCTTGGGAACCTGTATGCTTTGTGTATTAATTTCTCCTTAAATATGCTATATTTAATAATATGTGACCCTGATCATTCATTTAGTAAGTAGACTTTATTTTATGTGACTTTCTCATAAGATTTAGCAGCTGAATATCTAGAGGTCAGCCCATACATGGCTGGAGAAATATTTCCAAAATTGCCTAGCATTAAAATAATAGAATGTGGGGGCTAGCAGATGTTGTGGTGTTTAAGGGTGCTGGACTCTCACATGGCCAACTGTTGTTCAAGTCCCAGACCTAGTGGCTTGCTTTCTCATTTTCCCTCCCTCTCTCTTCTTCACTCTGTCCTTCTCTGGTCAAATTAAAACAAATAAATAAATAAAATAATTCTTTAAAAAAGTAGAATATCAAAATATTATAGAATAAAAAAGTTGTATGACTCTGTAGTACAATGCTTTTAATCTATAGCTTTGATTTGATGTCATCTCTCTTAATAGTACATGCAAACCTGGGGGGACCAATTTTTATCTAATATGATCATTTGGCTAAGCCATTGCTTATTAGTGAAAAAGCAATTTACATATTTTTCTTTAATTTAGAAACCCAGGTTTAGCTACAAAACAGTGTAACGGATAGTGTACTTTTCTCTTTTGGCTAGGATAGCTTCAGAGGAGAACTGTCATTTGAAAGCAGAGCGTCTCAGATGGTTGGCAGTCTGTGGTACGTGTGTCTTACACAGGAAAAAAGAAGAGAAATCTTTTATTCTCTGATTTACCCCACTTTAGCTCTCAGAAGATTTTTGTCAAGAATTCTTGTTTATAAAGGATCAGAGCCACATGTAGTTAGGTAATTATAGAAAAGCAGTAATTGGGCATTTATTAAGTCCTTTTGTGGGCTCAGCTCAATGATGAGTGCTTTGGGTACATTTAATTTTCACAAAACAATCTGTATGGTAGGTACTATTATTATTCTCATTTTGCAGATGAAGAAACAAACATAGGGATATTTAATCACTTGCTCAAGGTTACAGAGCTAGTAAGTGGTGGACTCAGGACTCATAGCCAGGTTTGTCTAGCCTAGTACTCCCACCCTTAATCATGCTGTACTTTGTCCCGATATTAAAGGAACAGGTTGAATGTCAATGCTGTGTTCTTCTAACCTATTCTAACTTGGAGTTATCATAGCTTCTATGCCACACCCTCACATCTGGTTTTATAGAACTGTTTTGAAATGTTCTAACATGCTAGTTTAGCATATTTACACTTACTCTGTATTTTTGCTTTTTTTCAAGATTTATTTATGAATCTTATTATTTTTTAAATTTGCTGTAGAGCATGTGCATTTACTGGAGAGAGACAAAAAGAGAGAGAGAGACAGGAAAAGTGAGAAAGCAAGCCACCAGGTTTGGGACTCCAACTGTGGTTGACCATGTAGGAGTTCAGTGCCTTAATCACTACACCACCTGCTAGCCCAGTATTTATGCCTTTTAAAAGAGTTGCCTTGTCCTTTGGCAATGTAATATGGGATTAATGGGTGGTAGCTCTTACTCTTCTTCTTTAGATAATTTAAGTGAAGGTGATAATTTAATTTTTTTCTGGGTAATAATTCTATTAAGATGTTTAAAGAAGTGGTATAGTGTGCTTCAGAAAAAATCTAACCTTATTCTTTATATTTGAAGATCCAGAATGGAAGGAGTAAAGAACAAAGATTTGTGGAACACAAGTCTACACATGGCATTCAAAGTAAGACCAACTTTTTTTTTTTTTAAAAATTGTTCTTTCTAAATATTTGACAATTCAAAATGTTTTTAGAGATGACCAAAAAAATTGTTCTTTCTAAATGTTTGACAATTCAAAATGTTTTTAGAGATGACCATTTCATTCATATATAAATATGTATATATATAATCATATTATAATTAAGTTCTCAAAAAGCAGTTAAAAATTTTTCTTTTTTTTTGAGAAAGATTTTTGCTATAGGGTACATGTACTTGCAGGAGAGACAGTGAGAAACAGAGAAACAGAAAGCGAGAAATCACTCCCCAGAGGGATGGCCATGTTGCAGTCTTTTCTTCTCCACTCTTCTCTTGGGATCTTGGGTAGGCACGCACACATGCCTGGTGTGAGTTTTAAGTTGCCAGGTCCAGGACTCGAACTGTGATCGACTACATGGGAATCCAGTGATGTAATCATTATACCATCTGCTGGTCTCAGTTAAACTCTTAAAATGTATTCACTGGCATTTCTAGTTATCTAGGGAATTGGCTTATTTGAATTTAAGCACCATTTTACTCCATCAGCTTTGTCATCTTAGCTATATTTTGAAGTTATGATCTCTGTACCTGAAATGGAGCTATATAACCACGCCACATTAAACATTAACTGGTGATGATAATGAATCATGTTAAACCAAGGATCTAGCAACAGGAGAAAGAGGTTTCCAGGTTCTTGTTTTATAGTTCATATAATAGATGATATCTCTTCTTCTCTAGAAATAAAAAATAAAATAAAATAAAATTTCAGGCCAGCCCATGGCATGGCCATTATGGCAGCTGGAGTTCACATGCCTGACTCCATGGTTCGAATCTCAGACCCAATGGCCTGAGAAACATGCTGGGTGCATGTGTGTATGTGTATGTGCCCAAAATCCTGAAAGGAGGAAAAGTGGAGGAGAAAGGATTGTGGTGTGACCGTTCCCCATGGGGTTAGGGCGCTTTCTCACTTTTCCTCTCACTTTCTCTCCGTCTTTCTTTCTTTGCTTTTCTCTCTGGTGAGCGTACACCCCCTCTGACAAACCTTAAAAAAAAAGGGGTGTAGGTGGAAAGGAATCATTTCGACTCATGGGATCTGTCTGTCTTCTCTCTTAAAACATCAGCATTTGATCCCATAACATAATTTTTAAAATGTTTCTGTTGCTTGTCTTGAGTCTTCCTTGCAGGCTGAGACTTAATCTTACACTGACAAAGCCAGTCATCCCTGGAGTTATTCAGAACCCCAGGAAGTAGGGAGTGATGGTGCACTATGGAGGACTTTGGGCTTATCCGAGGGACTCAGAATTGTCCCTTGTAGTGGGGCAATCATGAATGTTTTGAGTAGGGTGGATGCCTTCTTTGTGCAGCAGGCCCCTTGCTGAAATCTTATGACTCAGCCTACATGTTATCCGTGTGCACCTGGAAACGGAGCAGCTTTTTGCCCAGATTAACCAGATGGTGCAGCTCAGCTCATTCTTGTCATTTTTCTGCCTAATGCTCTGCTCTAGCAAAAGCTACTGAGAAGCAAATTAATTCCTAAAGTGACAGCATGTTGCTTATTTATTTATTTTTTTTAGGGGGGATGGAGGGTTGGACAAAGGGGCATGTGCTTGAGAGAGAGAGAAAAAAAAAACAGAGAGAGAGACATGGACCAGCAGGTGGTGTGGTGGCTAAGGGCCCTGGATTCCCACATGGCAGGCTGCAGTTTGGGTCCAGATCTGGCAGCTTGCTTTCTTGCTTTTTCTTTCTTTCAGTAATAATAATAATAATAATAATAATAACAACAACAACAAATGGAATTAAATAAATAATTCTTAAAAAAAAAAAACTTAAAAAAAAGAAAGAGAGAAAAAACAAACAGAAGGGAGGCAGAGAGAGAAAAACCCCGTCCAATGCGGCATGGCCACACTATAAGTCCTTCTCTACTCCTCCCTCCTCTCAGGATCCTGGGCAATGAGCAGGCACCCAATGTATTTTTCAAGCAGACTGGGCTGGGACTTGAACCCTGGATGGCCATGTGGGATCTGGCTTCTATGCAAGCAGCCTAACTGTTGCACTATTGAACTGATCCAATAGCATGTTTCTTAAAACACTGAAGAGGTGGTGAGAATAAGCATTCTTAAGGGAAAATAGGAAAATCGATATTGTTGGGTGGTGAAGTTATCAGAGCCTCCCTCTCAGGTTAAAAATTCACTAGCCAACTGGTTCTCACCTGGAGAGGGGTGGCGGAGAACCTTTCTTCACTTGTATTTTGGCAGTGTCTCTACATAGCCCCTGTGTAGCATGGGGACTTGTGTGTTCTTATCAATTAGTTCTTCAGTGTGAATGAAGTTGGAACCCAAGGCTGAGGATAGCTGGGAGGAGAAGAAAGAGTTGATAAAAATAGAAAAGAAAAATGTGCTAGAAATAAACTCGTCAGTATGGGAGCAGACTAAGTTCTCCTTCAGCTTTGTTAATTATTTCTTTTATCCCCTAGGAGAACCAGTGAAGACATCCATTCAGGAATCAGGAGCTTTGCCTCAGGTAGAGAAAAAAATATTCTGGTTTGGTATTGTATTGTGTGCATGGTATCTGCAGAGAGCTCCAACTTCTTTTAAAAATATCTGTCCATTAAGAACTCTTTGGACAGTGTTGCTCTCCAGAGAGCTCGTTTAGGAGGGAACCCTGAGTGTAGCAAAAGGGAAAGACATCAACAGCTGCATTAGTGAACTCTGGAATCAGGGGAATTCCAAAGTGACACTGTCCCAACTGAGAGATCACTGAACATCTGAGTAGGCAGTTGTGCTGAACCTTGACTTGTTCTGGCTTTCTCTTAGATGAATACCTCTCCAGAAGATGCATCACAAGGCCTCCTTCTGTACTGGGTTAGAAAGATACCACTTGTATAACTTCAGGTTCCTGTAGTGGAGACGGATGACCCATCTTTTCTCTCTGTTTCAGATGATCTCTTTTCCCCAAAGCTGAGACACCCGTAAGGAGACCACAATTTTCATTAAAATTCAGTAAAAACTGAAATAGCTTGTTTGTCTTAAGCACATAACCCTAATAGAGGAAAATTTTGATATTATTTGGAAATGTCAGCTGTGATGACTTCAGACTGTGACTAGGGAGTGAGTCACTTGCCAAACGGATGTTTGAGGGACTCCAAAAAGAGAGTTGGTGTATGGGTGGGACCTTATAGGAACAGAGCAGTATCGGGAGTCTTTAACAGCCCCTGCCTTGTTTTCCAGCATATACCTGAAGAGAGATATCCGATGCAGAGCAAGCCCCTAGGAATTTGCCTGATAATTGATTGCATTGGCAATGACTCAGGTAGGTGTGGAAGCTGCAGATTAACAGCTGAGACCATGGCCCAGGCCAGCCGTGTTCACCAGAGCGATCGACACTAGCTGCTGTAACTAACCATCACAAGACTCTGTCGTTTGACACACTGGAGGTCTTTCTTATTCATATCACAGTCAAGTGTGGATTGTGCAGGGAGAGCTTCACGATATGGGAAGACCATATCCATGTGGTCATTCAGTGGCTCCATCATTTTATGAAGCCTTTGAGTCTTCTGCAGGGTGTTCTATATTTGGCTGGTAAATGAGAGAAGAGAGAATGCATAGAGGATCTTGGGACATTTCAGGGACTAGGTTTGAAAACGAGATGTACTATTTCCACTTGTATTCCATTGGGCAAAACTCAATCATGTAGCCCCCACCTAACTTTAGAGGATATAGAGAAATGAGTCTCCTTGTGGATGAGGAGGAACACGCAATGGATTTGGGCAGTGCAGAGTATTGTCTCTGGCACAAAGGCATAATGTGTGAAAGTTGATGAGCTTCAGTCTTATCTTTCCATCTTGCATGCTGTGGCAAGGACTTTTTTTCCCTCCATGTTTATTAATTTACTTTTCATTATTTTAAATGCTCGAGAGGTACACCATCACACAGATTCTGTGTCCAATGGCCTTAGCAGAAAGGTTGCTTTGGAATTTGGCTCAAACCATGCCACTGTTTCCATGGGCATGGGTAACCTTTCCCCAGATTACTCTGGTTTTATTTGGTTTGCCATCAGGAGTCACTGTGTTGTTTTTTGCTTTGTACACATAAGCATACCTCTTGCCTAAATAGAATTCCATTTCATCTCATGTGTAAACACCTTCAGTTTTAAGAAGAGCTGTATGCTCCCTTTGGTTCCTGAGATCTTGCTTATAGCCAGCAAAAATGGCCTTGGATTACAGCCTTCCAGACATAATGGCCTTTTAGAAATCCAGTTCCCAGCAGGCCTCCACAGGCTCCAAGATGGTGATGGAAGGCACTTTTATAATGGAAGGCGTTCTGGCTTCAGATGTTACCCTTTGCCCCATCATTTTACTAGATAAGCTATGAAAGCTTTCCTGAGGAGCATTACATGTATAATCAATGTATTTTCACTTAGAGCTTTGGATGTTATCTGAGCAGGGTGTCTCTTAGTTCGGCCATCCTTGACTTTGGCTGTTGGTCTTGGTTGTACCTGCTGCCCAGAGCTACTTCTCTGACTGTCAAGGCTCCTGTGCAGATGCATTAGCAGCCATGGGCAGGAACCAGATGCACCAATGTACCTGAGGCTGCTAGCTGCTCACACCTCACGTCAAAGATTTGGTTCCCCCCGCCTGAGCTCTAGTTCTACCCTTCTCCTCCTTCTTATCTGTCCTCTGGCTCTCCAGCTCTTGTACTGAGACTCTCCTCTTTCAAGCCCAGCCTGATGATGAGGAGGAGTGGTGTGACCAGCTGTCTACTTGGGTATTTCCCCCAAGAAGTTGCCCCTCTTGTGTATTGTCTTCATCCCAGTGTGCCACAGCCTGTGAGGACTCACTCTCACCCTTGAGCTCAGTGCAGGCCCCAGGCCCTCAGTTCCTTGATGGTGTGTGTCACCATCCTTTGTATCTCAATTGAGTCTTTTGCCAATTGTTGGATGTCTGACTCAGACTGTATCACCGGTGATACATCAAAAGGGAACGAGAAGAGCCTGGATAAATGTAATAGCATTATGTTTAATTATTTATCTATGAGAGGATTGATCATTGGACTTCCACAGTGTTCTAGCTTCTCAATATTCTCTTATTGATAGAATGAGTCAGAACTTTTGGGTTGTCTGAAAAGCCATGACGCATTTTTGCATTAAAAGAACATAGGAAAATACATCATGACTTTTCCGAAGACCCGATATCTTGTAGGCTCAGCTAAAATGTTACCATGGTGAGGTTTTTTTTTTTTTTTTTTTTGAAAAGAGTGTAAGAGAAGGTCAAATTAGCAAATAGATTGAACTTCCCAGGAATGCAGCTATAATCCCACTTTTCTCATGTACTATTTTTGGTTAGATGTGAGAAGCGTTATCTTCTCAGCTATAGATGAGTGTCCTTTCCTTTTTAGCTATTAGTATCCATATGAGAATGAGAAAATATTTTCTTAGTGAGTCACTTCCTGTCTTAAAAGATTGTGTAATTGTTTTTTACTTTCGGTTGTAATCAATTCTGTTTCATTCATCAGCATGTTTCCACTGAACATAGTGCTGTCTTCTGTTGTTACATCTGTTGTATTAGGAGAATCTTAAAGGTAAAGCCATGGGGGCCAGATGGTGGCATAGTGGTAAAACAGTAGCCTCTGTGAGACTAACCCACATAGGAAAGTTCCAGGTTCACGCACTGAGACATCCCTGAGTGTGCACACGTGTGCCCATCGTCCAACACTGGCTGAGGCTGGGGGTGGATCGTGGTATTGTGATTCTGTTGTGGGCACTATCTCTTTCTTTCTCTCAGAAGAATTGAAAAACTAAACTTTAAAAAAGAGATAAAGCCATGACCCACTATTAATTGAGAAACTAAGTAATTTGTGGCTAAAATCCAATGTCTGTGCTTGCTTCCCTTGCTGGGTGGTGGCCTGTAGTGGATGAGACTGAATGTATTTTTGTATTTTTTTGCATTATAGGAACATGGTCAGAGTTAGGTCCCAGAATATGACTTCATGCCATATCTCAGCTTGGGCAGCATTTCTAGCCTCTCTTAAGGCTCAGCTTCTCTTCTGTGAAGTGGGTTAATACCAAGGCTTACCTTATAGGGTGCTTGGATGACACGAGTGAGCTAGTGCATACTTGCAAAGGGCTTAGGACTGTGACTGGCACATTGTCAGCCTGTACTTGATACCAGAAAATGTTATTTTCTCATTTTGATTGATTTTTGTCACAAACTGACAAGCAAGAACTTGCCATGGCTTTGAGCTTGGTACATGGAGCTTGATTTCAGACAAGTGTGAGACCAGGGAACTGAGGGCCCTGCACTGGGCTCAAGGGTGAGGGACGAGTCCCCACAGGCTGTGGCACACTGGAATGAAGGCAATAACCCAAGAGGGGGCAACCTCTTTGAGGAAATACCCACGTGGAGAGCTGGGCGGGCACAACACCACTCCTCGTCATCTGTCTGAATAGGCTTGACAGAGGAGAATCTGAGTACAAAAGCTGGGGAGCTGGAGGACAGAGACCTGACGAGAAGAAAAGATGGAGGAAAGGGCAGAATTGGAGCTTAGGCTGGGGGCACCAGACCTTTGATCTGAGGTGTGAGCAGCTAGTGGCCTCAGGTACATTGGTGCATCTGTTTCCTGATCATGGCTGCTGATGCGTCTGCATGGGAACCCTGACAGTCAGAGCGATAGCTCAGGGCAGCAGGTCCTTGCACATCACAGAGGTGGAGTGCTGGCAGGAGTAAGTCTGGGCCATCAGAGGGCACTCCTGGATGCTCATCTCACTCTTCCCCTGCGAGTCAGGTTCTGTTGATTCAAGTCCTCCCAGTCTCTGGGGAAACAAACAAACACAGAAACAAATAACTGAATTTGAGGCCACTTACAGAACCTCCCAGGCTCAGGTGGCTAATCACAGATAAGAATAAGACAGCACATGCTTACTTCTGTGGTGATACGGTTTACATCAGCTGAGAGGTTCCCATCCACTTACATATGTTGACAACACTCAGAGCAGCACGATGGTATTCACTGACTGTGCAGTGGAGGAAACGGTCTCCTCTCTGCAGATCATCTCTCCAGGCCTCCAGGTCTTCACTTTCCCACTTCGCTTCTGGAAATTGTTCTCTGAGGACACGCAGAGGCCTGGAATCCTGCCGTGGTTGATGGTGGTGGTTGTTAAGTGAGGTGCTCTTCATTGTCCGCGTATCAGCAGCTGGAGAGCTCCGTTTAGAATGATTACATGAGGTTTCCTCTCACTAATTAACTTTACTGTCTGGTTAACGTGAACACTTGGGAGGAGTGTGTGAGTCCAGTGGTAAATGGGCAGCCGAGACAATTGCCAACTGAAATAAGGGCTCTGAAAGAAACTAACAGTAACATAAGACTAGCTTGGGGGTGGTAGAGATCAGAATGTATAATTTATTAAAGATCTGCTGTGGGGGCCAGCAGGTGGCATGGCGGGTAAGGTGCTGGAGATTCTCACGTGGCCAACCATGATTTCAGTCCCACACTCGGCAGCTTGAAAATCACGCCAGCCATCTGTGCATGCATGCCCCAAATCTTGAGAGGACAATGGAGGAGAAAGGATTGCGGCATGGCCTCCCCCACTGGGGATAATTTCTCACTTTCCTTCTCACTGTCTCTCTCTGTCCCTTTCCAATGAGCACATGCACCCTATGGCAAAAAACCTTAAAAAACAAAAACAAAAACAAAACAAAACAAAAAAACTAGTATGTGCCAGGTACTTTGCTAATGGCTTTATATGGATTCTCATTGAATCTTCATAAATAATAGCATAAGATAGGTGCTGTTATCTCCATTTTCAGGGTGAGCACGCTAAGGAGTGAACTCTTCCTAACTTCTTTAGTACTATTAGAGCTGGGATTTGAACGTTTTGCTCCAAAGCCTGTGTTTTTTAGCTACTTTGCTTTAATGTCAGTTCCATGAGGGCCAGGCATTTACTCATTTCTCCCCCCTCTATTTTTTTTTTTAATTGCCAGGGGGCACATATGCTTGCCAGAGACAGACAAAAACCAAGAGAGGGAGAGGAAGAGAGCACCCTGCCGCACAATGGGTCAAAGTCACGCTGCAGTTTATTCTTCATTTCTTCATCTTGTCAGGATTTTGGACATGCAGATCCATAGGCCTCACATGTTTTTCAAGGAACTGGTGCTGGGATTTGAACCATAGTCAGCCATGTGGGATCCAGCTTCCTTAATCACCAGGCCACAGAGCCAACTCTATCCATCTCTTTCACTATTTGTCTCTGATATCTGGAAAAGTGCCTGGCACACAGAAGCTTAAGATATGTTTATTGGCTGAGTGAATGAAGGA